ACCCCAGATTAGTTAATCATTATAGATTAGAAAATTTTAAATAAAATACTAGGAAGTAGACTTATTTATTAATAGAATAATCTAACAAAAGAGTTTATCTGAATCATATATGTATTTTGTGAAAATCAATCAATATTGTATCCTATGCCAATAGGATAAGTAAGAAAAATTACATGCTTGTCTCAGGGGTCATTTTGTGAAATCTAATAAAATTCAGTACCCATTCTTAATGGAAAAAAAAAACAAAACTCAGCTTATGTGAAAAGCCTCTATATTAAGTAGCCAATTTTGGACTTCGAGTGAGAAACATTAAAAGTAGTCTTAGTTAAAATGAGAAAAAGAGAACGCCTGCTGTCATTTTTGTGATTGATTTTGTTTTAGTCCTAACCAGAATTGTTTAACATTCCCCAAATAAAACAATGAAAAAGGTTGTCCAGACTAATAAGAGGTGTAAATATTGAAAAGAAAGAAATAAAAATCTTAAAAAATTTTTTTTAATGTTTATTTATTTTTGAGAGACAGAGAGAGACAGGGCATGAGCGGGGCAGGGTCAGAGGGAGAGAAAGGGAGACACAAAATCTGAAGCAGACTCCAGGCTCCGAGCTGTCAGCACAGCCTGACGCGGGGCTCGAACCCACAGACCATGAGATCATGATCTGAGCCGAAGTCAGACGCTCAACCGACTGAGCCACCCAGGCACCCCAGAAATAAAAATCTTCAATTATAGATGATACAATTTTATATTTAGAAAATCCTAAGGAATCACAAAACAACTTAATATGCATATAGATCCAGCAAAGTAGTTAGATATGGGATGAATATGCAAAAATAAATAGTAGTGTTATATATGAGCTATAGCAAGTTAAAATTTCTTCAACGTATGTTCTATTTACATACATTTGCCATAATTTTTCTTAGATATAATAGCGTTAAATCATATAATCCCTACATGGGGGCAATTATGAGACATTCCCAAAAACTTGCAAATAAAGAAAATAAGAATCATAAGGGAGTTAAACTAAAATTAATTACCAAATGGGTTAGAACCAGAGACACGTGAGGTATCTTTAAAGAAACAGTTTTCCAGGCCTAAAATTTAAATATAATCTGATTGAAGGGAATCAGAGGTCCCCAAGATCACCCCCAGGCTCAGCAGTTCACAAGGACTGATAATTCTCAGCCTGTAATCACACTCAGTACGGAGATTTCTCACAGTAAAAGTCTCAAAGTCAGAAGGCACATGCAATGAAGTCTAGAAAACAGCAGGCACAAACTTCCAAGAGCCCTCTCCGGTAAAGTCACAGTGGATGCCCTCAGTTTCTGTAGCAACAAGTGAGACGACGCAGGTGAAACGTTTACCAGGAAAGCTCACTAGGAACTCGGTGCCCAGGGTTTTTATTAGGGACTCATTGTGTAGACACCCTCTGCCTGGCACTTCCAAAATGCCATTATCCTAGAAGGAAAGCAGGTGCTCAGCATAAACCATCGTGTTTACAGTCTAGATAAAGTGAGCCGCTCTTACCAGTTCTGCTAATGGTGGGAACCCTCCCCACATCTAAGTCCCCAGAAGCCAGCCTGCAACCAACTTTCTTAAGCAGGCCTTTCAAAGGATTGCTGTCAGGCTTTAATGAAAAAAAAGACTAACTCTTTGCACACAATATTTAAAGAAAAAAAGAAGAGAAAGGTTGGTCAACAAGAGAAACAAAGAGAAGAGAGACCTTGGGACATAAATAACAGCCATGTGCATTTTAACACTATCCAAGATCAAGAGCATCATGGCCAAAGATCCAGTAGGCCATTCCTGCAGTGTGGATAAATATCTCCAGCTGCCTTATCTGAAGAATGCTCCTTAATATCATTCATCTTACTCCCTTTGTTTTGATTGCAAGAAATTGCTAATTTATTTGTTTAATTTTTTTTATATTGCTCCTATATTCACAAAGTCACAAAATCAAAAATTTCAAAAAGGCTTTATTATGATATCTCTTTAGCTCTCCCACTCCCAATTGACTCAGTTACTCTCTCTATGGGGAATTACTATTGTCTGTTTCTTGTTTACCTTTCTAGAAATTTTTAAAAAATGCATGTATAAGACAAAACAAATACATAGTCTTTAGTCTTCTTGGCTGTATAAATAATACTAACATACTATACATAAAATCTCTATAGCTTACTTTGTTTTCACTTAGTAAGAAATGTTGGTGGGGGCACCTGGGTGGTTCAGTTGGTTAAGCGTCTGACTTCAGCTCACGTCATGATCACACAGTACATGGGTTCGAGCCCCACGTCAGGCTCTGTGCTGAAGCTCAGAGCCTGGAGCCTGCTTCAGATTCTGTGTCTCACTCTCTCTCGGCCCCTCTTCCACTTATGCTCTGTCTCAGAAATAAATAAAACATAAAAAAAAGAAAGAAATGTTGGTGATCTTTCCATATCCCTTCATAAAGAACTTCTTTGTTCCTTTTTTATAGGTGCATAGTATTCCATTGTATTGTTGTGCCATAATTTATTTTTCCAATCCCTTGTTGCTGGTCATTTGGTTGTTTTTAGTCCTTTACTATTGCTAACAGTATTGCAAGGAGTAACTTGGGACTCAAAGTTATTATAGGTTTGAGAACATATTAGTAGCATCAATTTTTAGTTGTGGGATTGCTGTTAATGGAATATGCATCTGAATTTAATAGATACTGCCAAATTGTCTTCTAACGAGTTTGTACCAATTTATACTCCTACCATCTACATATGAGTATTTGTTTTCCTATAGTCTTGCCAGTAGTGTATATTCTCAAGCTTTGGTAAATTTTGCTACACTGGTAGGTTAAAAATGATATTGCAGCATAGTTTTGGTTTTATTGCTCTTATTAGCAGCAAGGTTGAGCTTCTTTTCATGTTTTTGAGCCAGTTGTGTTCCTTTTCTGTGAATTTTCTGTGATCTTCCACCCATTTTTCTGTTGGGTCAGTAGTCTTTTACTTAGGGATTTGGAGAAGCTCTTTCTATATTGAGATTAATCTTTGTAATGTGCCTTTTAGATATTTTCCCCAGTTTATCATTTTGCTTTTGATTTAGTTTATGCTGTATTTTACTATGCACAAGGCTTTGGTTTTGTAACTGGGCTTATTAATCTTTTTAAGTTGATTTATTTATTTTTTAGTAATCTATATACCCAGATGGGGCTCAACATGGGGCTCGAATTCACAACCCCAAGGTCAAGTGTCACATGCTCCTCCAACTGAGTCAGCCAGGCTCCCTTGGGTTTATTAATCTTGACCATAGTAGTTAGGATGATCTTCTAAGTTATAAAAATCATCCTTATTTTCTTACATTTTCTTTCTGCACTTTTATTGTGTTTTTTTTTTTTATATTTAAATCTTTGATATATCAGGAATTTATCCAAATATGTGGTGCAAAGTATATAGCCAACTTTTCTCTGGATGGCTATCTTAATTTTTTCCTACTGGGTAGCCAGCTAGCCATCAAATTTTCCTACTTCCTTTTTTTTCCCCCCAATTTTTAATTATTTATTTTAAGTAATCTCTATACCCAACATGGGCTCAAACGCATGACCCTGAGATCAAGAGACGCATGCTCTTCCGACTGAGCCAGCTAGGTGCCCCAAATTTTCCTACTTCATAATTTGATTCTTTTTTTTTTTTCTTTTGAGAGAGGGAGGGAGGGAAGGAGGGGGAGGGAAAGAGAGAACTAGAACTAGTGGGGGAGGGGCAGAGAAAGACTCTTAAGCAGGCTCCACACCCAGCACAGAGCCTGACACGAGGCTCGATCTGATAACCATGAGATCAGGACCTGAGCCAAAATCAAGAGTCGGACATGTAACCCACCGAACCACCCAGGGGCCCCTTCTGCTTCCTAATTTGAACTATCATCTTTATCATATATACTCAAGTCCTATCTGTTTTGGGGTCTAATTTTGGACTTTTTGCTCTCTTCCATTGGTCTTCTGCCCACTCTTATGCCAGTGCCACATATTTTTAATTGCGGAGGCTTAAAAGTATGTTTCAGTATCTCATGAGTCTAGTTGCCTCTCTTTGTTCTTCTTTTTCAGAGTTTTCCTGGCTAATCTACTTTTTCCATATGAACTTTAGAATTATTTTTTTCAGTTGCAGGAAAAAATATCTGGCCATTTTTATTGAGGTTGGTTCAAATTTAAAAAATTAGTGGAATGATATCTTTAGAATGGGTTTCTCTCTAAGAACATCCTTTAAAGAAAGCATATCCTTAAGCGAAGAGTGGTCTAGTTTGAGTATCAGCTTCCATTCCCACTGTAAATTAACATACCGACATTCTGGTTTTATAGGTCATTCTGTGTGAGCAGTGATTTGATTCACAATGAGAAGTGGTTGCAAGTCTTCCCTGATTACTTCTCAGTAAGTCAGGTTTTAGAGCCCGTGAGGCTGAGAGCCAGATCCTAGAGCTTGGAAAATCCATGCTTGTGAATATTGCCCAATGACGTGGCCTCTTGGTAGATAGCCAGATGACCTCTCCCAGTAACACTGCAACCATGTATATGCCTTTATTTTAAAAATCAGTAGTTTCGTTAGTAAACTGCACTATTTTAAGAAAGCCTATTTTGGGGGCGCCTGGGTGGCTCAGTCGGTTGAGCGTCCGACTTCGGCTCAGGTCATTGTCTTGCAGTTCGTGAGTTCAAGCCCCGTGTCGGGCTCTGTGCTAACAAACAGCTCAGAGCCTGGAGCCTGCTTCGGATTCTGTGTGTGTCTCTCTCTCCCTCTCCCCTGCTCATGCTCTGCCTCTCTCTGTCTCTCAAAAATAAATGTTAACTAAAGAAAGAAAGAAAGCCTATTTTGCACGGTAGTTATACACGGATGGCAGTCTCTTCAGCTGTTACTGATGTTTCTGCATCTGTCTATGAGTAAAAGGGCCCTATCTGTACACTAACGATGTACTTTGAAAAACTACTATCTTTGTTACAGAAAGTAACTATCTTTGGCCAAATCTTTAATGAAAGTTTTAAATTCTTATGTTACAGAATTTCACAAACTTATTTGGACAGCCACTAGTCTGCTTGCTTTCTCCTACAGCGTATCCAAAGGCTTTACAAGGTACGTTGTCGTTACCTGTTATATCAGTAGGTTGCAGATAACTACTGTGTACATTTTGAATAATACTGATCTCTGTCTTCCCAACCTATAATGATCACATGTGGCTTTATAGTATTTCATGTGGCAGCTTTCACTCTGAAATACACCCAGAAGTCTTGCCAACGACTAGACTTCTATAATGTGCTACCATTAGGTCTTGAGATAATTCTGAAAGAAATGATAAATCATCCCTGAGAAAAATATGGTTTGTGGTCCCTTACTGTTGGGGAACTCGTGATTTGTGAATTTTACAATTTGTTTGGCAGGTATTGTTTTGTTTTGTTTTTTGTTCTGGTCTGCCTGTCATCATTCATATAGCATGATTTCCTATATCTCTGGCTACCTAATTTAGGCATCTTCTAAGACCATGAGATTTCTGGTCTAGAAAACTTCTCAGCCTCTGCCTAAGAGTTCGGAGAACCCAACTGGCACAACTTAAGGGTTTCTTTTATTCACATTTTTACTTTGTTGTATTTTTTAAATAAAAGAACCTCTTTTCAGTGTGCCAGGGAGACAGTGTGCCAGTGTTTTGGCTGTTTCTCAGATGGCTGAGAAATGAAAGACTTTGTCTTTAATAATTTATCCTCGATAAACAACACTAAAATCGAATTCTAACTCCCAGTCATTAAGCTAGGTAAAAACTAAACAAACCTAACACTGTTTTAGCAGTTCTTGTCACTGTTTCACTATCTCCCTGACTGCGAATAGTGCTGATGTCTCTCTGTGGGAGATGGCATTTTACTGCTACTTCCCAGCCAGAAGTCCTGTCTGCTGACATAGTTTGACACAGGAAGTGATGGTCAGCATTTGAAAGCCTGAGAGAAGCTGGAGACTTTTCACCGTTGTTTTAAGGTAAGTTTTGCTATTTAACAGGGAAGAACATGTAGAAATATTAAGTTCATGTATCTAAAAGCCAAATTACTAAGGGATAAAACTTACCTTCAAACAACGGTAAAATTCTCCTGCTTTGAGGACTTTGTTAACGTGTTTGTTATCATTTCTGGAGAAATATAACCTCTTCCAGTTATTTAAGAGTGCTTTTTCCTACCAATTTGTCCTATCAAGATGCAGCTTTGTTTAAAATTGCATGATCTGATGTGTTAATACCAAGATTATTTGGTCCAAAAGGCTTTACTGTAGAGAGGGTAAAAACACCAGGCTCTGGAGGCAAACTGAATTTAAATCCCAACTTAACCACTTACTCGCTATGTGACCTTGGGAAGTTACTTAGCCATTCTGTGCCTCAGTTTCTTTCCTATCAAATGGAGATAATAATAGTACCTCCTTGTTAAATAATTCTGGATATACAGTAAGTATTCAGGATGTACTATCATTTTTTAAACTATCATTATTCTTAATGCTTACTACTCTGCTCAGTTGTGGTGTTTGTCCTTAACAGTTTTTAGTTTAGTATCGTATCTTTGTGCTAGAAAGCTCAGACCTTTAATCCCTCAAATTTGGCCTATCGGGACACAGAACTAGCGGATACCTAAGTATTTGGAAGGTCTAATTAGATTACTGCCCCTCTGGTATCTAAAGTATACAGTTCTGGGGCATCTGGGTGGCTCAGTCGGTTAAGTGTCTGACTTTGGCTCAGGTCACGATCTCATGGTTCATGAGTCCAAGCCCCACATCGGGTTCTGTGCTGACAATTCAGAGTCTGGAGCCTGCTTGAAGTTCTCTGTCCCCCTCTTTCTCTGCCCTCTCCCATTCATGCTCTGTCTCTCAAAAATAAATAAACAATAAAAAATAAATAAAATAATAATAAAGTGTAGAGTTCTCTCTGTAACCATGAGTTGCATGATTTATCAACTAACCTTTACTCAGCATTTATTTATGAGGTCCTGTGCTGGGCACTGGGGATAACACTCTAACCCACACAACACAGTATGCTCCTCACACAGCCAAATATCTCGCCAAAGATGTATTTCTTGCAGGTGTTTCATAGGAGCAAGCACATGGAACACATAGAGGAACTCCTAACTGGCCCTTGAAGGTGAAGAAAGTGGATAAAAAGATGTTAAAGTTGAAGGATATATTGAATTATATGAGGCTTGTTCTAGCAGAGCAATAGTGTGTGAGCCCCGACATAAGACCACTGTGATGAGAGCTTATGGAACATTTTTTTTTTAAGATTTTATTTTTAAGTCATCTCTACACACAACGTGGGGTTCGAACTTACAACCTTGAGATCAAGAGTCACACGCTCTCCCGACTGAGCCAGCCAGGCACCCCAGTTTATGAAATATTTAGAGAAATATAAGTACTTCCTGCTAGCGGAAGGGTAGGGTGTGGGATTGTGTGGCTGAATCATGGAAAACCTTTTAGGATTTGTGAAGAAATTTAACTGGAGGACAGTGGGGTATCATCAAAAGATTGTGAACAGAAGAGTAGCCTGGAAGAGCATTCAGGCCACCTTGTGGAGAATGAATTGGAGAAGAACATTGATGGAAATAGGGAGATGGTGGTGGCTTCAAAAGATACTAAACCCAGAGAGCCAACAGGATTTGGCGATGGACTAGATATGAGGGAATAAGGGAGAGGAAGGAGGCAGGGATGGACTTCCGGGTTTCTGGCTGAGATGCTGGTAGAAATGATGGTAAGAAGCAGATTTGTAGAGAACAAAAGAGGGAAGAATTTGCTTTCAGTTTCTGACATGTTGGGTTGGAGGTTACCTTTGAGACCTAGGTTGAGTATTGTAGTCTTGAGCAATTCTGTTCAATAGAAAGACAATGTAATTCACTTATAATTTTAAGTTTTCTAGTAGCCACATTTCAAAAAAAGTAGAAACAGGCAAAATTAACATTAATATATCTTTTTGTACTGAGGCTTTGAAATCCCACTTATATTTTATACTTCACGGTGCACCTCAGTTTGGACACATTTTAAGTGCCCAGTAGCTACAGCAGGACAATGCAGTCCTAGACCTAGCAAGCTCAATCTAGGCTGCAGATAAGAGAACTGGGAATTAGTTGGCATGTGATAACTGAAATTATGGGAGTAGGTGAGATCAGCATTGTGTAGGGGGAAAGAAAGAAAATACTGATATTTAAGGGATAGGCAGAGAAAGAGCAACTACTAAAGGAGAATGAAAAAGATTGCCAATTCTAGTACTCAGAGAATGCTATCATGAACTGCCCACGTACTTGCCGTATTTGGATGAAATTTGTTAGTTGGAGTGAAAAAGGCAAAGGAATATGTACCTTTTCCATTTCTCTTAAGTTTATACTAGGCTCTGTCGTAAGTTTGTTCAGCAGAAAGTAGTGTGCCTGGGATGTTTTTGTAGTTACATGCAGAATCTACTTTGTTGTGATTTAATGATATAAATTTAATACATTGTCACTATATTAAATTATTCCTCAAATGCATCTCTTATTTTTTGCAAAACTGTTGTCTCTATATATAACATGTTTGTTATTACAGATCAATCTCAACGAGGTAGCCTCTTCACTCTCTTTTTGAACAATCCTCTAATGGCCTTCCTATTTGTCTCTGGATTGTCAAGCATGCGCAGAGGCCTATGGGAAAAGTGTCAAGAATATCTTCGAAAAATCAACCGCGATATTGCCCAGCTACTGACCCATTCACGTTCAATAGGTACCCTACTAATCTAACTGCACACTTAACATACTATAACGGTTCTTAAATTTTTGAAATTGTTTGAATTTTTAAAGGTATTTGTTGAAGGCAGGAAAGTTGAGAAGGTTTTCCTGATCTTTCTTCCCCTTGAAATGTGTTCTCCTTTTAAGCATCTTTTTACTGTCATCTTTCTCCTTTTTGCAGATCAGGCATTTCTCCAGTTTTTTGGAGATGAGTTTCTTCGCTTGCTCCTCACAAGATTTATCTTTTGTTCAGCCACCATGAGGATGCACAAGATTTTTCGGGTAGGCAAAGAATATTATTAATGACCAATTTTACCATTTTAGGAATTTAAGAATCATGTATTATATTTTATTAAATATGTTATATTAAATACAATTTGAATAGATCCAAAGGCATTTTACAAATGAATATGTAACATATAATGATGACCAACATAAGATACATCTGAAAACTCAACATCCAGTTTAAGAAGTAGAACATTTTCATTACCTTTTAGGCCCTTCCCAGGTCCTCTCTCTCTCTCAAATGAAATTAAAATTCTGAACTTTATACTTAGCATTCATCTTTACGGTTTTGCCACATGTGTTTGGATTCCTGCACAGCATATGGATGGATCCACGTTGTATGTATTCTTCTACAGCTTGCTCTTTTTTCACCTGCTATTTTATTCCTGAGACTGAGCCAAGTTGATGACAACTGTAGCTTTCATTCATTTGTTTTCACGGCCCTATAGGATTCCATTGTTTGACTGTCTATCAACAATTTCTCATCTATGCTACTGATGATGGACATTTAGGTTGTTTCCAGTTTTTTATTATTGTAAACAATGCCACTGTAAAACCTTCTATCAGTTCCCTGGTACACACATGTAAGACTTTCTATGGGGACTATACCTACAGTGGAATATGAGGTCGGATGATGTAAGTATCTTCAACTTTACTAGGTGATGCCAGATGGTTTTGCAAAGTGGTCGTCTCAGTTTACGCTCAGCAGCAGTATGTAAGACTTATTGTTGCTCTAGTCCTCTCCAGCCCGTGTTGCGGTCTTACTTTATATCATGTATGCCTAATGGGTATAAAGTCATAACTCACTGTGGCTTTAATTTTTATTTCTGAGATTGCTTTGAGGTTGAGCAACTTTTCACATATTGTTCTGTGTTCTTTTTCTTTAATTTTTTTTAATGTTAATTTATTTTATTTTTTTAATGTTTTTATTTATTTTTGAGACAGAGAGAGACAGAGCATGAGCAGGGGAGGGGCAGACTGAGCCACCCAGGTGCCCCAGTGTTCGTTTATTTTTGAGAGAGAGTGAGAGACAAAGTGTGAGCAGGGGAGGAACAGAGAGAGAGGTAGACACAGAATCCGAAGCAGGCTTCAGGTTCTGAGCCTGATGCGGGGCTCAAACTCACAAACCAGTCATGACCTGAGCTGAAGTAGGACGCTCAACGGACTGAGCCACCCAGGTGCCCCTCTGTGTTCTTGTTTGTAAAGAGTGTGTTCAGATCTTTGGTCCATTTTGCTATTAAGTGGTTTGGTTTTTTTCTGTGAATTCGTATAACAGCATAACACTGTTCATTGACTTTTTAAAAATTTTAGGCATTATACTTTTCATTTCTATAAGTAACATTTGGGTTTTTTTCAGATATGCCTGAACATTTTTAAGTTTCTTGTAACTTTTAGTTTTAAAATATGTTGATTTTTTTCCATTTTATTATGGTGATTTTAAACATGAAAAAAATTGTACAGTGAATATCCATATATATACACTAGCTAGATTCTTCAGCTAAACATTTTGGTATATTTGCTTTGGAATGTTTGTCCATTTACCCATTCCTCTTTCCATTCATCAGTTTATCTCATTTTTTGATGCATTTTGAAATAAATGGTAGACATCAATAGCCTTTACCTCCAAACACTTCATCATGCATATGAATAACTGACATAGGAGTGCCTGGGTGGCTCAGTCAGTTAAGATTAAGCGTCTGACTTCAGCTCAGGTCATGATCTCATAGCTTGTGAGTTTGAGCCCCGCGTTAGGCTCTGTGCTGACAGAGCCAGGAGCCTGCTTCAGATTCAGTGTCCCTCTCTCACTCTGCCCCTCCCCTGCTCATGCTCTGTCTCTCTCAAGAATAAATAAACATTAAAAAATATTAAATAAATGACGTATATACACTCCTTCTTTTTAATTTTTTAAATTTATTTATTTACTTTGAGAGAGAGTAAGCAGAGGAAGGGCAGATAGAGAGAGGGAGAGAGAGAATCCCTAGCAAATTCCACACTGTCAGCAAAGAGCCAAATGTGGGGCTCGAACTCATGAACCGTGGGATCATGACCTGAGACAAAATCAAGAGTCGGATGGTTAACTAACCGAACCACCCAGGTGCCCCTATATATTCTTTTTTTTTTTTTT